GAAGGACGGAGCCGTTAAGGGTCTGAAGCTGAACGGACAGCCACCCGATGACAACTGTGAAATCTGTTTGCTTTCAAAGTTCACCCGTTTCCCTTTCCATAGTGTGGCTGGCAGGAGCAAGAAGCCTTTGGAGCTGGTCCACATGGACTTGGTGGGGCCGCTGCCGGTGCAAGGGCACAAGGGGGAGCGGTATTTTCTTACAATTGTGGATGACTGGAGCAGGCTGATGTGGGCGTATCCGCTGAAGCAGAAGGACCACGCCGCCTCCACGATACGGGACGATTGGCTGCCATTCGTGGAGAAGCAGGCGGAGTGTGTAGTGAAGCGGATTAGGACAGACCGGGGTGGTGAGTTCCTTGGAGCTGAAATGACGGCCTGGCTCAAGAAGCAGGGCATCCAGAGAGAGCTGACCACGGCTTATACCCCACAGTCCAATGGTGTAGCAGAACGGGCAAACCGGACCATTCTGGAGACAGCTAGGGCGCTGCTCATAGAATCTGGGCTGAGCAATTCTATGTGGCCTCATGCTGTCCGGCACGCCACTGTCGCTAGGAACAGGGTGCTCACCAAGGTTGGGGATGACTCGTGGGTGCCGTTGGAGAGGTGGCTTGGGAGGAAGCCGCCGGTGGATATGCTGAGGGTGTTTGGCTGCATGGCAGTCGCCCACGTCCCCAAGACCTACCGCAGTAAGTTGGGGGCGAGTGCAATCTGGTGTGTGCATTTGGGGCTGGCTGCTGAGAGCAAGGGATGGCTGCTGTGGGAACCATCCAAGGGTGTGTTGTTTGACAGCAGGGATGTGAAATTCATTGAGGGCATGATGTATGGGAGCTGGGAGAAACAGCCGGAGGCAAGGGTGTCCCAGCAGATGGAGCAGATCACCATGCAGCTGGACCTGACTCCTAGTGTGTGGGAGGAGGGAGAGGAGGCAGCTGCTGGAAATGGTGATGGAGAGAAGGTACAGGAGGCATCTGCTGGTGGAGAAAATGGTGTGGAAACTGGCGGCAGCACTAGTGGAGCTGCTGGACCCGAGGGAGGAGAGAAGCAGCAGGGAAAAACTAAGAAGCCGAAGGGTGTCGTTATGAAGGGATGGGAGACACCCGTCTCCAGGCCAGGACGTACCCGTATGGCTACTAAGAAGCTGACTGCAGGAACTGATGCAGCAGAGCAGCAGCTAGGGACCGAAGAGGCATTGCTGATTCTACCTCATGGCTATGACCCGGATGAGGAGGATGAGCCTGCGTACTGTTTTCTTGCCCCTGCACCAGAGGAACCAGCTAGCATGGAGGAGGCATTAGCTGGACCAGATAGGGACAAGTGGCTGGCTTCTAGGGATGCTGAGTACCAGAGTCTGCTGGAGAATAGGACATGGGATCTGGTGGTGCTGCCTGATGGGAAGAAAGCGATACAATGCAAGTGGGTGCTGAGGATCAAGACCGATGACAAAGGGCAGGTCACCATCTACAAGAGTAGGCTGGTGGCGAAGGGGTTTATGCAGAAGGAGAAGCAGGACTTCAACGAGATCTTTGCTCCCACTGCCAAACCCCCTACCCTCCGTGTCTTGTTGGCAGATGCAGCTGTTAGTGGGAAATTCATCATTCAGATGGATATTTCAACGGCATTCCTGAATGGGATTTTAGAGGAGGATGTGTACATGACGCAGCCGCCTGGGTATGAGGATGGTACGGGCAGGGTGTGCAAGCTCAACAAGTCCATCTACGGCTTGAAGCAGGCGCCACGCTGCTGGTACCAGAAGTTGGCAGCTGTTTTAGAGGAGATTGGATTCAGGACCAGCAGCTGTGATGAGAGCCTCTTTCTCAAGGGCGAGGGGGAGAAGCTGGTGCTGTTTCTGGTCTATGTGGACGACATTCTTCTCTTCAGCAGCAGCATGAAGGAGATCCAGAAAGTGCAGCAGCAACTGATGGAAAACTTCAAGTGCAAGAACCTTGGGGAGGTAAATTACTACCTCGGGATGCACGTGGAGAGGGATCCAGATCACAGGTGGTTGAAGCTGCACCAGGAGAAGTTCATCAAGGAGCTGGGGGAGAAGTATGGGATTGAGAATGAGCGCAAGGTTGCAACTCCCCTGCCAGCAGAATTCAAGCTTGTGAAGGCTGCAGAGGATGAAGGGGTTGAAGCTGAAGAGCAGCAGCAATTTCAGTCCTTGGTGGGCAGCCTCTTGTACGCAGCAGTTCACACGAGGCCCGACATCTCTTTCTCGGTTGGGCAGCTGGCTAGGGTGGTGCAGAATCCATCAGAGGAGCAGGTGGATGCAGCTAAGCGTGTGGTGAAGTACCTGAACTCTCACCCAAGCATTGGAGTTCAATACTCCGCATCTGCACAGGTGAAGCAGAAAGGGGTGGAGGTGCTGAAAGAGAAGGGGGAGAGGCTTGGAGAAGGCAAGCTATTTCTCACTTGCTTTACCGATGCTACGTGGGCTTCTGAGAAGGAGGATTCCTCATCTGTGGGAGGATACATCTGCGTAGTTGGGGGAGGACCTGTTAGTTGGAGGTCCAAGAAGCAGACGGAGACGGCACTCTCTTCCGTAGAATCAGAGTACATGGCGATGTTCCATGGGGTGAAGGAGGTGATTTGGCTGAGGAGGCTGTTAGAGGAGATTGGCCAGGAGCAGAAAGTTGCTACGCCGCTGTTTTGTGATAGCAAGGGGGCTCTTGGGATGGCCAGAAACGCTGTGCTTCATGGGCTGAACAAGCACATGCGTATCAAGTGGCACTGGCTGCGTAAGGAGGTGAAGAGGGGGACGGTGCATCCGATCTACATCAAGACTCACCAGCAGCCAGCAGACTTTCTCACCAAGAGGCTTGCGGATGAGCCTCATTGGCGTTGTGTGCGCATGAGTGGAATGAGCATGAACTAGCATGGAATGACGGGGATGCAGCCGGCAGGCTGAGGGGGAGTGTGTTGGGTGCAAATGCACATTGCACGACATCCTGCCGTCTGTTTGTACGAGTATGCGTGTGCGAATGCATTTGTGTGTGAATGGTGTGTTCGTGTGTTTGTTTGCTTTCGCATTTTTCGCTTGATGCATTTGCAGGTACTCGCGCAATGTGCGCTTCGGCACAACATTGTATGCGCTATGAACAGTGCAAGCAGAAAGGACGAGCTCGCAAAGGAACCCAAGATGGAAGCTTTGCAGTTCGGTTGAGTTGATTGCGCAGATTCAGTTCTATCCAACTCGGAATTGTACTGTTTTGTTTGGTTAACTATAGTGTAGCAGGGAAGGCACTATAGGGGTACAATTTAGGTGAAGGTTGGATGTTGTTTGTCTGTATCTGCATGCTACAAGGCCAGGGGAAACCAGCGGAACCAGCATTTGGCTGGTTGGGCAAAGACAAAACAGGTTCTGTTTTTAGAACCTGAACCTGGTTGTTGTTTTCCCAGGTTGGAAAAACAGAACCAGAGGTTGTTTACCAACCTACCACCTGCTATTTTGTCCAGCCAGGTTGGTTCTGTTGCTTGGAATTATTTGGGATCATCCCTGGTTGTTCCCAGGTTGATTCCCAAGGTCCTTGCTAGCTAGAACTATTTAATCCTTCTCTGTTTGTACCTGAATATAGTAAAATTGATTCAAGCGAATTCCTTCCTCGCTGGAATTTCGTTTCTGCGCTATTCGACGGCGGAATGCTACCCGAGTCAACGCTAGTATGCTAGCACTCCAACGCTAGGCAAACGCTGTCCGAGCCATAACTTAGTAATGGCAGAACTTTTCGCGAGGCAACTTGGCTCATTTTAAAGCTCTTGGAGCGAGCTTCGATATAGCAAGTTCTCAGCTTAATCCGACCGACGGTCTGCACGGCACGCTGCGCGACGTTCAAGGTACTCTTGCTGTTTTGACTAAGTCCTTCTTGATCCCTCTCTCTACAAACTCGGACCCGAGGATAGGGGCTGGTCTTGTACCAGGCACCCAGGGACCCTTGGAGGTGACCCCGAGGAGAGGTTTTAAGTTTGATTAAGTCCTAATAGCTTGAGTTTATTAGGCCCCTACACCAACACAAAGTTGGCCTTACGAGAAAGAGTGACTGAAATCCTATCTAGAGGCCTGCCTTGGTGGTAGCCCTCTCGATATGCTTGGTCTAAGCTACTAAGCATAAGCCCTACCTCTTTCCTTACGTTACTATCTTGACAACCCATTCGCTGCCCCCGGAGTGTAGAATGTTATTGATCCAATGTCGTTAGAAGGCAGAAACAAGCCAACTGTTGTGTGCAACTATTTCTCAATACCGTTGCTCTGGAAGGAGTTTTATATCGTTATTAATAGAGCCCAGGATATAAAGAATGGGCAATGATTGGAAGTGAGAAAGGAGAATAATGGAGAAGAAAAAATGGTAGGAAGATAGGAGATAAGAGGAAGAGGATGGGAAAAAAAGGACGGATATTGAGAAATGGAATGATGTTAAATAAAAGATAGATGTGTTACGATCAGAAGTTTGACCGTGCCAGAATCTCCTTGGGCTGTTGGCACAGAGTTACTGTAGCGGAAATGACCTTAAATAAGAGTGAATGTATATGACAGAAGTGGTTATAACAAACACATATATTGGATTATAATTCAATGACCTTAAATCAGAGCAAATGTAAATGACTGAAATGGTTGACCAAGGTGTATCGGAGCGCGATGTGCTTGGTGTGATTGACGAATCCCGGATTGTTCGTTATTCTGATCGCACTCTAGTTATCGCTCTGCATTTGAAAGATCGGCGAGGTTGGGATGACATGACAACCAATTCTTGCTTCTGCGATTGTTGGAAACAAAGAAGCGGTCATCGACCATTGATTGTTGGGATCTGCGGCATGATCAGCATCCAGACTGCAGACAAGATTGAATGAGGGAGTTATGATTGTGGAGTAGCAAAGCCTAATGTTGGTCATTGAGATGAAGAATTCCAGAGCGCGTTGAAGACGAAGAAGATTCCCAACCGTTGGTTTGCGTGAGTACTAAGCCAGCTGGCTCGCGATGTAGGAGAGATCCGGCCTGCAGGTTACTAATGCAAAGTGCAAGCACCCCAGCTGCTGCTGGTAGGTGTGGAGTCTTGTGGGGGATAGGGCTTTGTTGTCAGGCTTGTAGTATGGTCCACGTGTGCGGTAGGGAATTGAGAGTGGCGCGGGAGAAATGTTGAACCGCTTCCCCCACCGACCCCACTCCCACCAGCGCTCCCGCCACCGCTCCCTCCAGCACCGCCTCCCCCCCCACCTCCCCCACCTCCTCCCCCCCCAGCGCCACCCCCGCCACCCTTGCCCCCCTTGCCCTTGCCGGTGCGGCGCCTCCCACCAGGAGTAGAAGCAGCGCCAACAGACTCAGCACCAAGGAAGTCAACAGCAGCAGCAGCAGCGTAGGAGGGAGCGAGGGGAGAGGGAGAACACCCCTCAAAGATGGGGGTGCGAGGAGCGCCACGAGCAGCACCGACAGCTACAATGCTCTTTTCGGCCGCGAGCAGCTGCTCCTCTAGGAGGGTGACTGTGAGCTCAGTGGGACAGCGAGCAAGGAAGTGGTCTCGAACTGAGCTGAGGGTGTCAGGGAGACGGGTGACTATGAAGTGGAGTGTCCAGTACAGTGGAGGGGGGTTCTTAGCGCAGAACTCGGTGGGAAGGGCGGCACGCAGGCGAGCATCACTAGTGCGAAGGTGGGTGATAAGATCGGCGACTGTAGCAAAGGTGGACAGATCGGGGAACAGGTACGGCAGCATGAGGCGGCTAAGCTCGGCTGTGGCAGGCGAGGAGTAGCGAGCAACGACAGCATCGTACAGGGCCTTAGCGGATTTGCAGTCGCCAAAATGCTCGAGCTCAGCTAGCGGCAGGTGACTGCGAATGGCTAGGCGAGCAGCTGCGTCACGAGTCTGCCAGTGGGAACGAACACTAAGCTCGGCTGTGGCAGCAGGAGCAGCGGCAGCACCAGACGCGTAGTCATAGAGGGAGATGTGGTCCGTGCTATTGCTCATAAGATACAACTGCAGGTCGTCGAGCCAGGAAGTGAACTGCACGGGACGGCCCTCAGCATCGAAGGAAAGAACGCGAATAGAGGCCATAGCTCAGGCGTGAGGGCACAGCAGAGCAGCGGCAGCAGCAGAGGGGACGCGCTAGAGCGAAGCTAGCAGCCACAGCAGGAGCAAGCGGCGGTGCACAGGCAGGGAGCAGCAGGCGAGGCGGGCGGCGCTGCAGGCGGGAAGTGCGGCGGGCGGGCTGCGAAGCGGGCAGCGGGGCGGGCGGGCGACGCGGCGAGCGGGCAGCGCGGCGGGCGGCTGCGAAGCGGGCAGCGGGCGGGCGGGCGACGCTGCAAGCGGGCAGCGGGCGGGCGGGCGACGCTGCAAGCGGGCAGCGAGGCGGGCGGGCGACGCTGCAAGCGGGCAGCGGGCGGGCGGGCGACGCTGCGAGCGGGCAGCGAGCGAGCGGGCGACGCTGCGAAGCGGGCAGCGGGCGGGCGGGCGACACTGCGAGGGGGCAGAAAGCGGGCGGGCGGGCGGCGCTGCGAGCGGGCAGCGAAGCGGGCGGGCCGCGAAGCGGGCAGCGAGCGGGCGGGCGGGCTGCGAAGCGGGCAGCGGGGCGAGCGGGCTGCGAAGCGGGCAGCGGGGCGAGCGTGCGACGGTGCGAGCAGGCAGCGCGGCGGGCGAGGGGCGAGCGGGCAGCGTGGCGGGCGGGCGACGCTGCAAGCGGGCGGCTCGGCGGGCGGGCGACGCTGCAAGGGGCGCGCGAGGGCGCTAGCGAGGGGCGCGCGAGGGCGCTAGCAAGGGGCGCGCGAGGGCGCTAACGAGGGGCGCGCGAGGGCGCTAACGAGGGTGCGCGAGGGCGCTAACGAGGGGCGCGCGAGGGCGCTAACGAGGGGCGCGCGAGGGCGCTAACGAGGGCGCACGAGGGCGCTACGAGGCTAGGGCACGGGGTAGCGTGGTAACCGCATGCGAGCGGTGGTGGGCCCTTAAAAAAAACGATCGGTAGGTCCTAGGGACCTCCTGCTCTGAATACCATCTCAGAATAACTAGCCAAGAATGAATGAACTAGCAGAAGTTTGGGTACAAATATGAAACCCTAGTTGGGGTTGTACCCCATATTGGCTACCCCACTACAGCCTACAAGCATAATACAGTTTAACACTTCTTAGTCCGATGGACTGACTGCACCAGTGAGGATGACACTTGGGTGCCATCCGCCTTGCTTGAAGCGTCTCCGCTCGTTGGTGATTATCTCGTCCGCAAGTAAGCTACGGATATTGAGCACCTTTCTTGTTGGGGGGGGGGGGGGAGTCAGGAATTTTTCCTTATTCCTTACCGCGGTTGAATGGTACTTATACAACCCCGACATTTCGAACTTCGCACGTTTGGCCTACATTTCCGGTGCTGTGGCTGCTCCACATCGCCTTCGACTTTCTGATCGCCAAACCTACATCCAACCTCGTTTCCCCGAGGTTCCCTCCTAGCTAGGGTAGTCACTATATAATCGCGTGCCTTCATTGTATTGTCAGTTCATTGAGTCACAACTTCCATATTCGTTATTCCGCGCATTCTCCTTTACAACTCATACATATAGAGCCCACTGTATCCGGTAACCAAGAACCGTATTATGGGCCGACAATTTAGTATGTCGCAACTTTCGCGAGGGGACGTGGGGGCAGAGCACATCCATTATCCCGACAGTATCGGGGCCAGAGGACAACCTGTGCCATGGAGGAGCTGGCGCAGGTTGGAGGGGGGAGATAGGAAAAAACACCGCAGGTCCTGGCACATTTGCCCTCACATTTTAATGTCCCAGAGCACTGTAGCAAAGCGAAAAATTCTCGCCCAAAAAGAGGGGGGTTGGCGACCCACCCTGTTGGGCCCTTAATATATTGGAGTAGGGTTTTTTTTTTGTGCACTAACCCTTGTATTGGTACTGTGCAATGTTGTCCTGTGAACATTGCTTCTTCTAGAATCAAACTTTTTATTCTTGTGTTGTGAGAGAACCACTTTCTTTTCTTTCGTCTCATTAGGGCGGAAGCTTTCACCAGGGTGGGGGGAACAAAGACAGAAGATGGCACGGAATCAATTTTAGGTGGTGTTCGCGTCGTTGCTGTAAAACACCTGCGCCTCGGTTTTCAAAACATTAGCCCTACAACCCGCACTGTACAGCCCTCGATAGTGCGATTAGAAGCTTCATAGAAGAAGCCTCAACTTTTTCTTCCATCCTTCTTCCGTGGCCGCCAAACTGGGCCTTGATTCTCGAAATTGCTGTGGCGTGGCTAGTGCTACTCGGGGATTCTGCGGAGGCCGTGAAGAATTTGCGACTTCCACTCGTGCATCTTTTTAACAGTTACTCGAAACACATGTGTGCAAATACCCTAACCGGTCAAACCCAGGAGTAGACTGTTCTTTTATGCGGTAGAATTTGGTGAATGAGATATGGCTTTCTTACATCTGCACTTCTGGTCAGTGTGACACAATCGGTGCTCTCACAACAAAGTGAAGCCCAATCGAGGCGTTTCTGTTCAATAGGATAGAATCTTCCATTTTTTTTTTAGCTCTCCGCCTTGCTGCCACCATGGCCATGGCAATTAGCTTTAACAAGGCCAATGTGTTTCAATTTCTTACCTGATCATGGGTCTGAAGCAATCAATCGAAGCCTGGCTTTAAGCTCTACACCGCAATATATTTTTAGTGTTCATCAATAGAATCTAAGCAAGGGTTTTAAGAGTTGCAGGCATTCGATTGCGTTCTGCACATCCTTATTTCATGGCACTACACATGGCGTGTACTACAACCAGATAGATGGTTTCTATTGCGACAATCCAATTTCTAAGTTATCTGCTCACGCAGCTTTCAAAGACACCAACTCCAAAAGATGGATGTCAACCCCAAGGGTACCAACGGGAAACTCGAGTCCGGATCTGCAGAGGTTCTCCTTCAAGCACAAACGACATCAAAAGAGTTTAACAACAATTTCTGTGCTCAGACCTGCTTGGTTATCAGCCATTGTCGAGTTGTCAAGCTCAGCTCATCATCGCACAATGCCAAGGGGGCGAAGCACCAGGAGCAATAAGAAGATGACTTGAAACGATCAGGAGAACGCGGAGGCTGGCTTACTTGACGTACATATTAAGGGAGACGCTGGTGTGGAGAAATCGACTACTGCATCTGCGTCTGCTGCTGTGAACGTTCCCTTTGAAGACCTACTGGACCTACAGGACAACACTGATTATGGAATGACGTCAGGAGCGGTTACGGCCGATGATGAGGAGGATGGGAGCGTGAAGCCATCCAAGGAGGTGGCTGGAGACGACGAGGATGCGGATGCTGGTGCTGACGAGGAAGACTTACAAGATGAGGTCGACGCGGTATCAAGCATGGCTCTTGATGACGAAGACAACGGCTACCTGAGCGACGACTCGGACGAGCATCTGGAACCTGACTCGCTAATCAGTGTCATTGCTAATAAGCAGTTTTCGCTAATATTGCCTGTATCTATTGCCAGGAATGCAGAAGTTTCCCGCGCTTCGGTGACGGTTGCTGCGATGCTGGACCACTACAAGGAGAACCTGTCTCCAGGCGCATTACAAACAACCACACCAGGAGCTCTCGGCGACATACCTCTCCCCCAAGCGCTACAGTCGCCTGCAAGTTACCTTCAGCCATGTCAGGGATGCAAACTTTATTTGGAACCAGGTTATGAGCCATGAAAGCTTGAATGGCGACCCGATCTTACCTGGCAACACCCTGAAGATGCGCATTTCTTGTGCAAGCGTATTCTGAACCCGACGGCGAAGAAGGTAATACTCAAGGGAGCCCCGGCCGAGATCTCTGTGGAGCTCATTCGTCGCCTGCTGGTGGTTGCGAAGCTGGTTAGGCGTGGCAAGAGCGCTTTCGCCAGTGGGATTGGTTTCCACCGCACCGTCGACCCAAATACAGGGATGGATACTGACCGCATCCGTGGCTTGATCATCCCCGATGCCACTGATAAGTACGGCTGGAGGTATTTCGTGCAAGACCCGTCGGCAGGAAAGCGGTACCTGCTCCATTTCCCATCGCTTACCTGCAATTTCTGCGGTGGTCAGCACATGTCCCGGTATCATGGTCAGTACATTACCATGCAGCAAGAGAACTTCGCCAACTGGAACCTGACTGAGAAAAAGGTTTATGAGATGAACGGTTTACGATGTGGTGTTGGGTGCAAATTTACATTGCACGACATCCTGCCGTCTGTTTGTACGAGTATGCGTGTGCGAATGCATTTGGGTGTGAATGGAATGTTCGTGTGTTTGTTTGCTTTCGCAATTTTCGCTTGATGCATTTGCAGGTACTCGCGCAATGTGCGCTTCGGCACGACATTGTACGCGCTATGAACAATGCAAGCAGAAAGGACGAGCTCGCAAAGGAACCCAAGATGGAAGCTTTGCAGTTCGGTTGAGTTGATTGCGCAGATTCAGTTCTATCCAACTCGAAATTGTACTGTTTTGTTTGGTTAACTATAGTGTAGCAGGGAAGGCACTATAGGGGTACAATTTAGGTGAAGGTTGGATGTTGTTTGTCTGTATCTGCATGCTACAAGGCCAGGGGAAACCAGCGGAACCAGCATTTGGCTGGTTGGGCAAAGACAAAACAGGTTCTGTTTTTAGAACCTGAACCTGGTTGTTGTTTTCCCAGGTTGGAAAAACAGAACCAGAGGTTGTTTACCAACCTACCACCTGCTATTTTGTCCAGCCAGGTTGGTTCTGTTGCTTGGAATTATTTGGGATCATCCCTGGTTGTTCCCAGGTTGATTCCCAAGGTCCTTGCTAGCTAGAACTATTTAATCCTTCTCTGTTTGTACCTGAACATAGTCAAATTGATTCAAGCGAATTCCTTCCTCGCTGGAATTTCGTTTCTGCGCTATTCGACGGCGGAATGCTACCCGAGTCAACGCTAGTATGCTAGCACTCTAATGCTAGGCAAACACCGTCTGAGCCATAACTTCGTAATGGCAGAACTTTTCGCGAGGCAACTTGGCTCATTTTAAAGCTCTTGGAGCGAGCTTCGATATAGCGAATTCTCAGCTTAATCCGACCGACGGTCTGCACGGCACGCTG